ATGGTGGGAGACGAAGGATGTGACTCAGGCAACAGCGCCGCCCAGAGGGAACAGCCAGTGAGGCAACAACGCTGCCCAAAGGGAACAGCCAGCGAGGCAACAGCGCTGCCCAGAGGGAATGTCCAGCATTTCAGGCAACAGCGCTGCCCAGGGGGAACAGTCAGCATTTCCGCGTTATAGACTCACAGACATTGGGCTACTATATATATGATTCCACCACGATTTCAACGGCTTCCACCTCACCATCAACCTCAGTCTGGACCAGTCTACATGGGAGGTGCACTTCCTGGACACCACAGTACAAATAAGTGCCACGATTTCAACGGCTTCCACCTCACCATCAACCTCAGTCTGGACCAGTCTACATGGGAGGTGCACTTCCTGGACACCACAGTACAAATAAGTGATAGTCACATGAACACCACCCTATACTAAAAACCTACCAACCACTATGCCTACCTTCATGCCTCAGGCTTCCATCCCGGACACACCACACGATCCATTGAATACAGCCAAGCACTGAGGTACAACCGCATTTGCTCCAACCCCTCAGAGACCAACATCTACAAGATCTTCAGCAAGCATTCTTGAAACTACGATACCCACACAAGGAAGTAAGGAAACAGATCAACAGAGCCAGACATGTACCCAGAAGCCTCCTGCTGCAGGACAAGCCCAAGAAAGAAACCAACAGAACACCTACAATCCTCAGCTAAAACCTCTCCAAGGCATCATCAGTGATCTACAACTCATCCTGGACAATGATCCCTCACTTTCACAGGCCTTGGGAGGCAGGCCAGTCCTCGCCCACAGACAACCTGCCAACCTGAAGAATATTCTCACCAGCAACTCTTCACCGCCCCACAGTAACTCTAACTCAGGAACCAATCCCTGCAACAAACTTCGGTGCCAACTCTGCCCACATATCTACACCAGCAACACCATCACAGGACCTAACCAGATCAGCCACATCATCACTGGCTCATTCACCTGCACATCTACCAATGTAATATACGCCATCATGTGCCAGCAATGCCCCTCTGCTATATACATTGGCCAAACTGGACAAGTCCCTATGCAAAAAATAAATGGACACAAATCAGATATTAGGAATGGTAATATACAAAAACCTGTAGGAGAACACTTCAATCTCCCTGGAAACACAATAGCAGATTTAAAGGTAGCCATCCTGCAGCAAAAAAAACTTCAGGACCAGACTTCAGAGAAAAATTGCTGAGCTGCAGTTCATCTGCAAATTTGACACCATCAGCTCAGGAAAAGACTGAATGTCTAGCCAATTACAAAATCAGTTTCTCCTCTCTTGGTGTTCACACCTCCAGATCTGCTGCTAGAAGTGGGCCTCATCCTCCCTGACTGAATTTTCCTCGTTAGCTCTATCCTGATTCTTGCCTGTATATTTATACCTGCCTCTGGAAATTTCCACTCTATGCATCTGATGAAGTGGGTCTTTGCCCACGAAAGCTTATGATCCAATACATCTGTTAGTCTATACGGTGCTACAGTACTCCTTGTCGATTTTGCAGATCCAGACTTACAGGGTTACCCCTCTGATACTTGACTAATGTGTAATGGTTCTCATATTACAACAGGTAATTTCCTCTTCAGGTACTCTCACCTTCTCAACACTATTGGGGGTGAGCCACATCCACTCTGATTTAGTTAGCACTGATGTCATACTCCCATCCCTGTATACCTTCCTTTTTTCTTTTCTCTTCAGAATCTGAGGAAGTGATTTGAATCTCACAAAAGCTTCTGCCCTAATGAATTTATTTGTCTGTTTGTTGTTTCACTGAAACAGACTAATACAGCTACCCCTCTCAAAACTATATGGCTTTAGAGTCAGTCAGCAAGGAATCAAAATAAGCTCATTATTCACTCTTAAACCAAATTCAGATTGCAATGAGAGAGGTCTAGGAAAAACTACTCTACTAAGAGGATGGTGAAGTACTAGAATGGGTTACCTAGGGAGGTGCTGGAATCTCCATCCCTAGAGATATTTAAGTCCTGGCCTGACAAAGCTTTGTCTGGGATGATTTAGTTGGGATTGGTCCTGCTTTGGGCAGGGGGTTAGACTTGATGACTTCCTGAGGTCTCTTCCAGCCCTAGGATTCTGTGATTCAAACGAAGGCCATTGACACTGAGGTATTGCACTGATTTAATAAAACCCGTTCCAGAGAACTATAGATAGTTTTTCACATGGAGACAAAGTCTATGTTAGTGCGTCCCTTGATTTGGCCGGTTTCATCCTCTTCAATGTGTAACTTGTTTTGGAGTGAAGGGCTGGTTGGCATTGTACAGGGGCCTCTGAGTAGATGTGCTTTCTTCTGAGGGTTTGTCTACACTGCAAGTTTTTGCAGCAGAAAATATACCAATGAGGGACTCATTAGCACGAGTCGCGATGTCATTGGCATATTTTCTGTTGATGCTTTTTGTGCAAAAAGCAGTGTAGCCACTTCAATTTTGCACAAAAAAAACCCGTTTGCGCAAGATCCTTATGCTTCTCCCCGGGAGGCATAAGGATCTTGTGCAAAAGGGTATTTTTGTGCAAAACAGAAGTGGCTAAACTGCTTCTTTTTGCACTAAAAACCTTGGTGCAAAAAGCATTGGCAGAAAATATGCTAATGACATCGCGACTCATGCTAATGAGTCCCTCATTAGTTTATTTTCTGCCACAAAAACTTGCAGTGTCGACATAGCTTGAGAGTTCCAAGGGATCTTGTTTATCTTATGGACAAATCTCCAGCTAGAACTGCAGCCCCAGCCAGGAAAGTCTGAGGTTCCCTTCACAGAGCTTCCTCTCTGGGTGCCAACTCTTGCCATTTGGCTGAAAGCCTTTTAGCATATAGAATTTTTCTTAATGCCTCAGTTTCTAGAAACCAGTCTTTGTGGGATTCTGAACTCGCACTTGAAAAAAAAAAGTAAGCATCTAACCCCCATGGTTATAGAGAACAGCTTGAAAATGTGAAATGAACTAACCCTAAAGACTCACTAACCATGTGGAAAGTGGAAACAACCCCAATATTTCCTTCTTTATTAAAACAACAGCATGATTTTAAGCCAATCTCTTGGTTTTCTGTAGATTGACTGGGGATTTTTGATGCTGGAGCTTGGCAATACTGCCTGTGCCACGTGGAGAAGCCCCATAGGACAGATAATATGTCTTTTGGGCCCTCTGCATGTATTCCAGGACTACATAATTCAAACACTGATTATATAATAAATTATCATTTTTCAAACCACACTGATTAGCAATTAATAACGTATCATTCTGTCA